ATAACAGTGTTCATGTAGTACAATAATATTCCTACAACTGTCATTACTTGATGGCGGAAATGTGTAAATAACATTTCTCGTTAACTCAAAAGTTTTTAAAAAATTCAATACACAAACATTTTTATTTTTCAAATATGGGCATTAACTAGTTAAAAATTTATTTATTTTTAATCATTTAACTCGATTAATTAAATATTTTTAAATTAAATTCGGAATTTAACTAATTTAATTTATCGTTAAAATAAATTAGGTTTTTCAATTAAACTAAGTAAGAATAAGTTTTAAACTTGTGGATTAAGCCCATGTAGTTGTACTAGAATTGTTTATAAATTAGGAATCAGAAAGAAAATATATCATATTTTATGTGATCCTCAAACTCAATTAAAAAGTAAATTTTTAAATTAAGTTAAGTTAATAATTTTATCGATTTAAATTTTAACCTAACTAGTAATATTTATAACTTTTTAACTTATCAGCGTTGATCCTATTTAACTGAACTTAACTCGAGTTAATTATTTTGATTAATATACTTAGTTTTGTTATTTTCAATAACATTTGATTGAATTAAATGTCATAGCTGTTACATAACAATAATTAAAAAGTATTTATTGTCCATGATCGACAAATCTAATCATGATCATGTATGATAATGAACTAAGCATCATCTCAATATGTAATTTTACAAGGAAATATTTTTCAAACTCAAAAAGGTATATTATCAATTTAAGAAAAATAATAATTAATTATATTTAGTAATAAAAAAACCTCATTTCTGAAAAAAGTGTATGTTACAGTGACGGTCAAAATTATAAGACAACCCCAAAGTTTATATTTCATGCGTCTAGATTTTGGACTTGTATGCAATCTTAAACGTTTAAATCACTAAGTAAATGCACAAAACTTTTTTTCTTTATATAATGTGTTCATAAACTTAAAATAAAACCACATAATTTGCATTAGTTCCATTTGCAACTTAATTTTTACTTACATTTTCGTTAAAAATGTTATTTTTACTAAGACAGTGAATTTCAATTATTAAATAATTTTAAAGGCTTTCTAATATTTTTTTACTTACATCCAACTGCGTAATTTTTTTTTCTACGTGTTATTTGGATAATTAAGTTTGATGAAAAAATTTTCGAATCAATTCAGTTAAAAATATTCAAACCACAAGTAAATAATAAAAATTTTTAAGTAAGATAAAATTAGATATTTTTGGTACTTTACTTTCAAATATGTTCATTTTTTCAATATGCTAGGTAAAAATCACATTATATGTTATTTCAACTAATTTACTTGGAAACGTATTATAGATATTTAAAAACTAAAAAAAATAAAATAAAACATTTATTATATTTGGAAACGAAACGTCTTTTTTTTAATCTAATAAAATAAAATGTCATAATTTTCAATATAATTAATATGAAATAATTATAGTGATTTATTTAACAGTTTATAAGTTCAATTATTTAATATTGAGTTGCCCTTCCTTAGCTTCCATAGCAAGCTAGAATTCTTTATACCATAGATTCTGCAAGTTTTCCTCAGTAAATTTGATTTAAATTTTGCCAAGCAAGAACTATTTCTTTTTTTAACTCATCGATTTAGCGCTCATGGTCATCTTTGATTATTTTTTCAATTAAATCATTAGAGAGAGTATATTTTATAATATTTATCATAAAAACATATATTGATCTATACATATTTCGAAAAGTTATAGCATTATAAAATTTAAAATATAAAATTTTTTTACAAAAATCTTATTTTTTTTATTAATTTTGATGTTCGTTTTCATCATGAAAATAAAATGAAGTCCAGACATTTTTTTTCCACAATAAAGTATATTACATTAGCTTTAATTTAAGATATATATAAAAGTGTTAGTATTTCCGAAACACATTTTCTAAAGTTAAGTTGAAAAAGTAAATTTTTTGTAAAAAAGTTGTCATTTTGAATCCCTCCCTTGTGAGGAGATAAAGAGTTAGATTTCTAAAAAAATATATCAAATGATAAGTAAAGTCATCATGCATCTATAAAAAAAAATTATATTTAAATTATATTGATTTGGTCATTTTTTAAAAATTTATGGCAGTTTTAAGTAAAAAAATTGAAAAAATTTCGAAAATTAGTGAATTTTAAATTTGTAATTTTTTTGAAGATTGCCCACATTTACGGAAGAAATTTTTTTTTAATAGTTCAGCACTGAAAAATCCTATAATTAAAAATAGAAACATATCAACACTACTCTAAATTATAAGCTCTCCTCCAAATATTGTTGATTTCCCCATTAGTAGTAATATTAGTTGATACTAAATAATATGTGTGATAGTATGGTAGTTAGGATGGCCGTAAGCTACATTGTTTGATTTTTTTTTTTAATAATATTTTCAAGTGCTACCCACTAGAATTGCACAAAAAAATAATCGTACAAAATTTGGTGATGATTGTTTAACTCTAACCCTCTTGGGACTTAAAAATGATACACCAAGTGTTGTTTATTAGTTTCTTTTGTCTATCTCAAAATCATTAACTTTTAAGAAAAGGTTTATAGAAACTTTTTTATAAATATAATATTATTCTATAAAATAGATATCTACAAAAATTTTCGAAAAATTGTTAATTAGCCTAACAAAAAAAGAAAATGCAAATATTCTATTTTTATCGTTGAAACTATTAACTTAATTTATTTTATAAACCGCACACTGCAGAAAAAAAATGTTAACACAAAATTTATTTTAAATTATATTTTTTATCTAACATTTTTTTCTACCATTTACTATTCACATGATACATTGAATAATTTGTAAAGTTATAGTAAAAAAAAATCATACTTACATATTAATAAAATACTAAGAACTACTTTGCAAATAAAAAACATATTAAAAAATAATTTAGATATTCAAATATTTTCGTGATTTTATAAATCTTGACATAAAATGCTTTTATTGCAATTAGAAAAACAACGCCGATATTTTATTACAATCTGTAATAGGTACTATTTGTGTACTTCATCTTTTGTTAAAATATTGTTATATTCTTCAATGAACTTTACATCCCTCTCTGCCAAATTTTGCAACTTCTAAATTATTTACATTTTTTTTCCTTTTCTATACTAATTGTTGTCTTTTCATAACAAAGGATCTAAATCTAAAAAATCAGTTTCAATTTCAAATCTTTCAAACAATTTTTTTGATTCTGTTAAAAGGAAGTCTTCAATATTTTTACTTTTGTATTTGTAAATTCCATGTAATCCTAAAACTACACGTTTATGCGTACGTGTATCTTCTTTGTCATTATTAAATGAATTCCCCATTTTAATTTTGGTATCTTTTGACAAATTATCATAAAAAAATGCCAATGCTACGGTTTCGGATACTAAATACCATAAGTGACCGTACATTTTTTTTAAAACTACTTTAGTAATATCTATATCTATTTTTTCATAGTTAATCATATTTTTTATAAATTATAAATCTAAATTTGACGCTAACACAGCATTAGATAAACTAAACCATTGTTTAATATATACACTTATAATAAAAATACACAACGAACGAATATCATTAAATTCTTTGATTGATAATACAAATTGGTCTCTAAACAAAAATATTTTTAAACAATAAAGGACCTTGGCCATCCAATGAGTATGATGAGTACCCTAAAATAATACAGATGATTAGAAAACCTATCCTATAATATAATATCTTTATGTTTAAATGTCTTATTATATGACTACATAAGAATAAAATAAAAATATGTATTCACAATACACATTAATAATAGCACATTAATTATTATTTAACACAATAAATATGTAAAAAAACTTACTTACAATCATTAAAATACAATTTGTAATTACCGTTATATATCTATTTTGTGTTGATAAAACACAATATATAAATAAAATTACGAGGCGTTCACACAAAATGATGACCAAGTAAAAACTATGGACATGAACTTTTATATGTTAAATTTTAAACGCTCATAGCGAGTAGAATTCCGGATAGATTTCGGATTTTAAGACTTATAAACCTTTCCTATTGCATGAAGATTACAATGGTATTAAAACGAAATAGAAAAAAAACATTTTCGTGGAGTAAATTGGCAACGAAATTTAGGTATAGAGTACCGTGAAAAGAAAAAGCTTATAATTCAGTCAAATAACATCAGATTTAACGAATTTTTCAGGATACCTCTAGAAGGTCTATGGAAAACACTGGTAAAAAGTTCAATCAAAAAATGCTGATGAAAATAACTATTTTTTTTTAAATTCCGAAATTTTTTAACACTCACTGAGTGCTAAAATAGTTTTCTAAAAGTATATTTTTCTGTAATGAAAAATAAAATAGCTATAAAAACTATCAGAGATTTTGGGTAGTTTCTCTTTATTAGTTTCATAACACACGATTGAAGTACAACGTGTGACGTAGTTTGTTGAATCACTATAGTAACTTTAATTGAATTTTCTGTGTTAAACATTCATTCCAAAGAATACCAACACATTTGCGCACAACATATATCTAATTTATCAAATGTAACATAATCACTTAAAGATATGTAGTTTTACCCGTATAAAAATTTGGATCTTTTTTTAAGATAAATCTTTAAAAATTCTATGTATTAAACTTAATTCACATAAATTTGATCTATTTATTCCTTTCTAAGTGNCAACATATATCTAATTTATCAAATGTAACATAATCACTTAAAGATATGTAGTTTTACCCGTATAAAAATTTGGATCTTTTTTTTATGATAAATCTTTAAAAATTCTATGTATTAAACTTAATTCACATAAATTTGATCTATTTATTCCTTTCTAAGTATTATACTAATCTTTTTAAAGTTTTAAATTACACAATGATCTAGTTCATTGTAATTCTTCGACAACCATTTCATGTATGACGATTTTCAAAGAAAATTTCTTTGATTTATTTTTTACCTATTTATTTTTTCTTTATTTTACTAACATCAATTACTATCCAATTATTTTTTTATAGATGACCATGTTCTGTGGATGAGATACAAAAAAATGATTATCGATGTCGTAAACGACACTTCAAATATTACTTTGTCAACAGATGACTATGAAAATACATATACTCAAAGACCAGAAACATATATTGTGCCAATATTGTTTGCGTTCATTTTTATCATTGGAACAGTTGGAAATGGATCATTAGTCATGATTTTTTTCAAACATAAAAATATGATCAATGTTCCAAATATATACATACTTAGTTTAGCATTGGGAGATCTGTTATTAATTGTCACCTGCATACCATTTACGTCTACCGTTTATACAGTAATTAACACATTTATTTGTTTATTATTGGGTGACATAATATAGATGACAATTGAAAAATGAAATAAATAATACATTTTAGGTTTGTAGAGTATAAAAATAGATACTCCTACTTTAAAATGTTTTTTCTACATTTTTAAATGAGATTTTTAAGTCATGAATATTAGAAAAATAAAATAAAAATTACATGTTTCCTTTTATGATATATTTTTTGTAATAATAACAATTATTGCATAGTACTAGTTTTTAATACACCAGCGTCACACAGTGATTAATAGCAAATATTTATAATTTTAAATAAAAGATTTTATTTATATTAAACACAAAAACTTGATAATATTCATAATTACACAATTTATTTTAATTTGTCGAATATTACAAAATTATAAAATAATTTTTCTACGAGTTGAAATATTTAAATATTAAATATGTATTTAATATTTAATAATTAATAAAAATAATAAAATGTTTAAAATTTGATCGTTTTAATTAATGATTTTATTACAGAAATATTATTACACATAATACAAATTATTCAAAAAAAAAGTTAAAATAAAACCTTGAGCATAATAGTACTTTTTAAACTCTTATTTATTATTATTTTATTTTCGAGTAAATAATTTAACGATAACAGTTTTAATTTAAGTGTTAAGAATTTAGAACTATGTATAGAAAAAAAAAGTACAAAGAGTAATTCAAATTTAATTAAAACTTAAGTTTAATTAAGATTTTTAATCGTAGTATAAATCACAGTTTTTTTTTATACATATAGAAAATGATGTCACATTTTATTTCCATAAGAAGCCTTTATTATTCATCAGTATTTTAGAGATATTTTGTTTTTAAAAAAAGGAACTAAATTTCTTTTTCACATTTTGAAAAATGTATGAATGATTAATATTATTAGTTGACTACAATGGAATACATAAAGTTAAATAAAGTTCTTTTATTTTATAATAAAGCATATATTAAATTGTTATAAAAACTGTTACAATCACATTTGAAATCGATTTTATTATATTTAGATATTGAAATGTCATAAGAATATATTTTACCATTAAGTCATAGCTTAAACTTTTTTTTGTTAATAAGTATTTAAATGAAGAAAAGAAAAATACAGATTTTTTTCTCATCAGTTATTTTGTTTCTTCAATTTAATTTGCTTTTCATTTCTAAAATTACAGATTTCATGGAAAAATAACAAGCATTTTTTGTAATAAATATCTTTGAAATAAAAATAACTTTAAGGATATTGAATCGATCAAAGCTACGTAAGAGGAAGAAAATTAAGTTATATTTCCTTTGACACAGCTTTGAAAATAAACATACTTTATAGTCTTTTGTTTTTATTTTACAACAGAATGTATTATAATAAAACGTTTATTTCTATAACCGATCCCTACGAGTAAAATAACTTTATACTTTTATTTTAGGTACCTTCATGGCCTTATGGACAAGTTATTTGTAAAGTATCTGAAGCTACAAAAGATATATCAATCGGCGTTTCCGTGTATACATTGACGGCGTTAAGTGCGGATAGATTTTTCGCCATTGTGGATCCAATGCGAAAGTTGCATTCGACTTTAGGAGGTAGACGAGCTACAAAATTCACTGTTTCTGTGGCAGTGTCTATTTGGTGTTTAGCGGTAATATGTGCTTTGCCAGCCGCTAAGTTTTCGTATGTCAGACAATTTCAAGTCGATAACGTAACACTATTTGAAGCATGTTATCCATATCCTGAAGAACTGGGTCCTCTATATCCACAAGCAGTGGTACTTGTCAAGTTTTTAGTCTATTACGCCGTACCCTTATTTGTAATTTCGTGTTTTTATGTTATGATGGCAAGACATTTGATTCGAAGCACAAAAAATATACCTGGAGTAGTACAAGTAAGTTAAATAATAATGCTTCAACTGATTTTATGTTGTAATTCAAGGGCGATTTTAAACAAAACTGATTATTAAGTTTTGCCACGGCATGTGAATGAAATAATCGCCAAATGCAATGCAAAATCAGTGAATTTTTTAAATATGATAAAATGTGGTAATTGTACATCGCAGATTCAATAAAACTTATTTATTTACTATAAAATTCATTTTTATTTATTTTTATATATGTATGGTTAAAAAAATTAATTAAAGTGACATTTTCACCCTACACAATATCCTAAAAACACAGTATTGTAAGTATTAAAATAATACATTTTTAACAATCATTACGTATGTGACAAAGTTAAGACTAAGAATTCGCATAAACACCGTTATGAAATATAGATTATCGTTATGAGAATATATATTTGTAACATTAGGCCATCGCTTATGGTTTTTTTTCCTGAAGTTGACTTTAAAAAATATTATTAAATTTCGTTTGATTGTTTGCTGTTGATATTAAACTATAGTTTACAATAAAATTGTCAGAATTGAAATTATTCCAGCTGAGTAAATTGGTAAAAAACCCCTTAAAAATTATTATAACTTATAGATAAATCCTATTGCTTGGAACGTAAGGCATAATTTTACACAATAACAAAATGTTAATATTTTCATCGTTTTGTAGAGATATATTTTTCCCAACGGATTGTATCATTGGAAAAATAATTTCATACTTTTTTCTTCCTTGAAATAAACATTCTTCTATACTTTTTACAAATACCATCTAAATAACATAACTCATCCTATTCACTTTTTTTTCTTTAAACCACGATATGGTTTTAAAACGATAAAAAAAAAGACACATAAATATAACTCCTACAAGAAAATATTTAATTAAATGGTTACAACAAAAAATAAATAGATCTTATATAACAAATTATTCTTTAATAACAAATATACTATACAAATTTACTTAAGCATAATTGATACGCTATAGCAGTATTAATAGTACACAATGAATACAATTAATATTGATGATAATTGATATTAAAAATTTAATTTTAATTTTTAGATTTGATGTAAAACTGAGGAAGTATTAATTTTACCACGTATTTTAATTTTTTTTACCTGACGACTTCTTTAGCTGTATCGGACCAATATTACGAATAAACATTAAAAGAAACCAAGTTATATTTATTTGAAAAAATCACTATCAGAAAAAAAACTCCCAAAAATTTTTGTATAAAAAAAAATATCTAACAAATTACAATCATTATCATCGCCAATATTATATTTTTATTTCACAATTTTAAATAACTATAAATTTTCTTTTGAAAAATTGTATCATAACCATATTTTTTAAGGAATGTAAGAGACGATTATCTTTCTTATGTTACACTTCCTATGAATTTTAATAAAAAGTTTTAAAACTAAAAACTACAAAAAGATTGTAAATAAAAAAAAATTTCTATTTCAAATATTTTTTATTTTTATTTTTGAAAATATTCCAAACTAACTGTTAATGTTTAACTTATATCAAGTTAAAATCTATAAAACGTAATTTACAATAAAAAAAAAACCCTTGCCTCGACTTCTATAAAAAATTGACTGTCAATGTAAAAAACATCAAAATTTGTTGAAAAAATAATAACTATTGTATCATATAATATTTTACAATTTAGGACAGGCTTATTAAAAAGTATCGAAATACCATCCAATTGAAAAATAACTCCCACAAAAAAAGTTACCTGACAATCTATTAGTTCTTTCATATCGAAACATTTTTTAATAGTCATTTTAATCACTGTCATTTTTCAATCAATACTGGTTGAAACATTTTCTCAAATATCATATAACACTTTTTGATATATTTGACCTTGAACTCGAATTTCTATATATATTGGGTGAGATTAATAGCTTAATTTCTTTATTAAATTTCATTTTACAAATTAAAGATTAAAGCCTTAATTTTTGTGTAAAACTTAAAGTTATTTAATATTTTTGAACAAATAATCAATGTTTTATTTAAATTGAAATTATTAACTGCTATATTGAAATCATGTATAATTTTGCAAAATAAATAAAATTAATTAGACAAATACCTTAAACTGATTAGTTCATTGTTTTACAAAAAATTGTGTCCAAACATAATTGAATTAAATTTTATTACCTACAAAAGGACTAGATAAGATGTATGATTCAAATAAACCATAGTTAGAAACAATCATCAACTAAAACATATAAATATTTTCATCCTAAATAGCAAAAACGGTAACACAGTGGCGTCGCAGCATAGTGTGATTGGGGCAAGGTAGGAAAAGTATGGATGATATATAAAAGTGATTAAAATAAGAAACGTTTCGATGCAAATCTGTAGATTGTGTTTAAATTTTAATGTATTGCTCCCAAAGGAAAAAGAACTCCTATTACCTTATTTATATCCTGATTACAAGATTTATGGTATATAAATGTAATATATGAATAAATATTTAATAAATTTAAATTTATTTATTATATATTTAATAATTTTGTTCAACTTTGACGGCCGTTTTCACATAAAATATAAGTTGTCGGGACAATTTTTTTTTTAACTTATAGTACGTAACATAAGCTTTAATTTAACATATATCTAAAAGAAAAAATATTTCTGGAACATTTTCAAAAGTTCTACTTTTTATATGTATGTTTCAAGTTTTGAACGCACCTAGTATAAAAGGAAATTTAAGTATATAGAAACAAAAATTTGTATTAATCCATATAATTGTAAAAAAGTTATAGAAACTTAAAATTGAAAATATAAAATCGAACAATTTTACACAAAAATGAATACCTTCTCAAAATACCTACAAAAAATTTTAGTATAAATAAACCAGGGATTGAAAATTGTATTTTTCAAAAATAATTCTGATTAAGATAAATTATGTCGAATGAAAAAGAGATATAAATATTATTTCTCATAAAAAAATTGTGTTCATCAATACACTTTTCAATAAGTTGTATTATAAAGTTAAAAATGTAAAAAATAAAATCGAGAATTTTCACACAAAATAGTATTCGATGGCCTTTTTTACCGTGAAGACAAAATAAAGTCCGAATTTTTTTTTTCCATAACAAAATACATTACATCAGCTTTAATTTAGGATATGTATAAAAGTGTCAGACTTTCCGGAACACTTTTAAAAGTTAAGTTGAAAAAGTTAACTTTTTGTCAAATTTATAAAAAAAATATTTCAAATAATAAGTAAAAACATCAATCATCTTTAAAAAAAAAAATTATTTTGATTTGTTAATTTTTGAAAAAAGTTATGGCAGTTTTAGTAGAAAAAATTTCGAAAATTAGCGATTTTTAAATTTGTAATTTTTTTGGAGATTTCCCCCATTTACGAGGAACGAGGGAAATTTTTTCAATTTTTGAGAGTAATGTCTTCGACTAGATACAATTAGTGATCTTTTGACGTATTGTTCAAAGAAATCGGTTCGGTCAGAACTGAGAAAAAGTGGTAACAGACACAAAAAAAAAAAATAAATAAACACATCATAGTAAAAATAATTGCATCGAAGCTTAAAGAATACTTGACACTTAAAATTTAGCATTAAAATATTAAAACGCTGTTCAATGGTATTCCCAAAAATGATGTTTTTTTAGTTGTAAATGATAAACATACATTAATTATTTTTTTTTTGTTTATCATTTAACACAACATTCGTGATATATATTAACATCCATATGCAACTCTTTGGTTTCATTATTACAAATAAACTTCTTTGATTTGTTCGAATATTATTTATTTTAGTATGAAATAATAAAAACACAGAATGAAACAAACACTGAGATTTAGTTCTTTTGGCTCTATATAAATTAAAAATAAATTTTATTATTAATATTCATTATTTATTAAGGAGAAGATATTCCCTTAAATGAAAAAAAAGTCACTACTATACACATACAATTTAGAAAGATAAAACTTTAAAGTATTTGTTATTTTTAAAAATTGTATTCAAATACGCATTTTGAATTAATTTTCTCTTAAGTATACAAAGTATAAATGTTGAGTATTTTTAAAGTGTATGATTACTAAGTTTTCAAATTTCACTTATATAATATTTACTTAAAAAAAAAAAAATAATTTTATCATAACATCAGTTTTAAGAAAAAAAGTTTGGAAATTGTCAAAATTTACCAATTTTAGAAATAGTAATTTTTTTAGGAATTTGGATCATTCACGGGTAACGAGGGAAAAAATGTTAACTTTGAGGGTAATGTCTTAAACTTGATAAGACTTGTGATTTTTAGACTATCTTTGATAAAAATCGGTCAAGTAAGAACTAAGAAAATATAGTGACAGACACACACACACAAAAAAAAATTATAATAAATAAAAAAGTACATTATGATAAGACTAATACTTCTCAGTTTCTCATTGAAGCTAAAAAATGTATTAATATTAAATATTATTGAAATTTTTTTTTCTACTTATAATAAATACAAATATCAGCCAAAATACATAAAAAAAAATATATAATACTAAAAATATATCATAGAATTTGTGTTGATCAAAAAGACATTTTTATTCGGATGAGCTTTAATAATTAAATATCCTTTTGCTAAATGCTTTGAATTCGTTTATCAGCTATGCGAGTTTAATTAAGATTTTTGTTGAAATTCACTTTTTTCGCATATGTTCTTAGAAGTATTTATAAATTTAAATAATATAGTACATGTTTATATATATTATTTTTATTAATGTGCAAGAGAAAAGTTCAATGATACCCGTGCTTCATCCTGGACTATATTTTAATATGTTAATAACTGCCAAAATAACAGGTCCAAAAAATTGTTATCGACGAGCCATTTACTCAATTAGACTATTTTATATTTTATATGACAACTAAATATGTATGCTGCTATGCAATATAAAGTTGGTACCCTAACAAGGGATAAGAGATAGGACAAAAATGTATTTAATCAATTTTAGATTGAGAAATAAATATAACTAAACTAAGCCTAAAAAAATTAATTTTGACATTTTTATTATTTTCGGAGAAATTTAGTGGTCTATAATAAATTAATAAACTTGTATAACATTTTTAAATAATATTAATCATAACTAAAATGTTTATTTGATATTACAGGGTCAGTTGCGTCAAATACGAGCACGGAAAAAAGTTGCTAGAACTGTTTTGGCATTTGTCTTGGTATTCGCAATTTGTTTTTTACCTCATCATGTATTCATGCTTTGGTTCTACATCAATCCTAGATCAACAGATGAATACAACACTTTCTGGCATGTATTGCGCATGATTGGCTTTTGTTTATACTTCAGTAATTCATGTATCAATCCGATTGCGTTATATTTAGTGAGCGGTACATTCCGGAAACATTTCGATAAACAATTATTTTGGTGGTTTGTTAAGTCTCCAACTGCAGATATTAAGTCACAAAATGGATACATGCATCGGAAAAACGGTACGAGAAATAAAGATCGAATAATGATACATGAATCATCCACGATGGCCAATATTCGCATGAGTACTTTTAAAAGAACCATTGAAAATACAACTACAACGATACTTACTTACGGTGGCCAAGATATTGCATTGATATAAGTTTTTACTCTGTATGATTCTGATTCAATATAAAGTCAAAAAAATGAATTGCAAATTGGGTTTTAGTTTTTAAAAATATTGGTATATTAGAACCATGGCTGTTCTTTTACCTTTATTAAGATGACACTAAAAAAGAAAATAATTGAACAATTTTTGATTCTGTTTAATAATCATGATAAATTTGTTTGTTTTGTTTCAATTTAGAGAAAGCCCAAGGGCCTTAAGCCTCTACAAAAGTTAGCGTGTATTGGCGTATTTTTATTTACTTTGCTTAATTTTTACATTTTTATGGAAAAACCCTATCCGTCAGATAAAAAAATTATGAAAATAAATTTATTTTCATCATATAATCAAATTAAACATATAGTTTTCAATAAAGAAATTAATATAAATGATTTTTTATATTTAAAATGATAAAAATATTATAATTAACTACATAATCCTATAGTTTTTTAGCTAATTAATTTTTCTATTTAAAAAAATAAAAATTTACAATAGTTTCTGGTAAAATGGGTGCATTACTCAAAATCGATTACCCTTTACAAGATCTAATTTAATAAAATTTTGACTACTAATCTATATTATTCAAATCATTGATTTCAATAAAGATAGTGATATATTTTTTTTAGAAAATATGTTTGAATCATTTTTAAGTTTCATTTAAAATAATATATGTAATGTGAAAAAAACATTCGAATTTATTGTGCTATTAATTTATTTAGTTATTTCATGATAACTATTTTTCTATGGGATTAAAAACGAATTGTTGTATTAATTAAAATAACCGTTAATATAATTGGTTATATTTAAAGAGAGTAGGCACTGCAAAGTATTCTCAAGGATCACGAAAATGACAACCCCTCGGATCTTATCTAATCATTGTATTAAAAACAACCACCATTAATCATACAGCCAGTTATTTACAATATTTAGGACTGGTTAGCGCGGGCATACCTGCTTGTAAAATGAAAAAAGGCTGCCCAATCTTTCATACCAAATGAAAAAGATTTTTCAACACGGTAGTACACCGAAAAGTGAAGTTGACATTTGGAAACCTCTATGGCACTGAGCTTACCACAAATTATATACCACAGTAGTGAGCTCTGCTGTTAATTCTCTGCTTCTTGTGAGAACAGAATGTATATACTACAAAAAGAGATAATCTTGTGAAAATCCGGGATTCATGTAAGAAAAACCTGTAAGAAAAAAGATGAAAATAAAGAAGTTTTATAGAAGAACGTTGGATAATTTAAAACTTTAATTTTAGAAATAAGGCATCTAATGATGAACTAAGGTAGCAGTGGGACACTTTTTAATGAATTATAAACTAACAAAAAGACGAAATAATAGTCAATATACAGATTCTAGGAGTTATAGGATCAACTGGTATTGTTGCTGACTAAACTGAAAAGACTTGGAATTATCTTTTGAAAGCAGGGATCTATTTATAGAAACCTGTAACAACAAAAGTATAAGTAATAAAGGTCCGTAGAACTAAACATATAACACTTAAACCCATTTTTATCATAAATAATATAATAAATATTTTCTATTAAAAAAAGATTTACCTAAATTCTGAGAAAAATAAGAAAACCTTTTTTAATGGACTCAAGGCTTCCATATTCCTAAATCTGCCTCTGATCATATTCATTCATAAATTAAAATTTTTTATTGAAAAAATTACTTTTAATTTTTATATTATTACAGGAGGAATGTTCAATGTGTTACTATAATGTTTCTCATTGACAAAAGGAAAATAATGTCAAATGGTTGTACATTTACTTCTCCTGTGTAATTTAATTCCATGAAATAAGAATGATTTCGAAGTATTTCCAACCATAATAAAAATTCTCATAATATATATCGAAAAACTAAAATACAAATTATATATTTTAGTTTTATTGTTTCTTGTAAAAATTGAATATTATATATAATCAAATGTATGTTTTAATATTTATATTTTTAAAAACTATAAATATTGTAAAAAGTATACCAATAGTTTTTGTATGATAATTAAATTTTCATTAATGTGCTTCTTTTTATTACTTATAATTTGTAACCAGAATTTTTAAAACCAAAATTAAATGACATTATGTAGAATGCAACCAACCCAATTAAAAGGACATCACCCAACATAAATCACCATATAATATCTACTTTAAGCGCAGGGAAGGCAAATTAAAATGTTTAAATAATACTAAACTATTTGTAACAGAACCGATAATCAATTTAAGTTTATCTACTTTTAATAAATTTTAGCTTATCAATTTAATAGTTATTTGAAATACTCTTAATCCAACATACAATTAAAGAACCGTAAAAGTTCAAATGGATCATAACACTTTTAGTCCTTGAATTATAAGAATTTAAAATAGTATTACTACTACAGAGTGTTTAGTAAGTAAGGAAACAGATCATTTGTTACAAACAATGAGAACAATTGATACCCGTTTCCTTGCATACTGAACACTCTATATATCATAAAGTAATAAAAATACATTGTGTAAAACTCAGGTCTTTCTTGAGAGTCCTTTAAGGGTCAGATGTGGGGTTAATATTTTGAAACATCATTTACAATAAAAGCGTGCTGAAACAACATGTGCCGGAAGATTCTACTATTATTGGTTTCATCGATGACACTCTTGTTCTATCTGAAGACATGTTTGTGGTCTACATGGAGAGAAGGTTTGCGGATGCACTAATACCTGATTTCTGGAGATATTCAGGGGTTGAGACTGACTTTGACGGTTGAGAAAATCGAAGCTGTTTTGTCCTGGAGTAACTATAAAGATCCGTCTTCAAGTATATTACTGATTGGCGAAGACATTGCTGTCAGTGATTGCATGAATTACCTGGATATACTGGTAGACAAAAATCTAAAGTTTAAGTGACAGGTAAAAGCAGTCACCAAAAAGGGACATAATGTGATGACAGCACTGTCCAGACCTATACTGAAAATTAGTGTTCAGAAGGAAAAGTGATGTCAACTATTATTCAACGTCGTGCAATCATTAAAGTTATTCGTAGCAACTATTTGGGCTTTTGTGAACTGGCTTTTTGCTGACTAATTGTAATTGTGTAATTTAGTAATATGTATTAATCGCGATAACGAAAGCTCTTTTTTCTTGTATATAAAGTATTAACCAGGCAAGAATCTAGTCCTTCTAAAACATTCAATGCATTCGATTCAGTCCTTTTCAATGTATAGGGTCTATAACCATATGAGGCGACGCGACAATAGTCGTCATCTACTCGTTCAAGATTCATATAGTACATAGGGTTAACTCGTTAAATTCCTAGAGTTATTTTTAAGTGTTAATATAGTTTTAATTTTACTTAATTAATTAGCCACTAGTGATCAATTTTTATTATATAATAAAGAGAAACTCATATTCAAACGCATTAAATTTTTAATTTGTCTACCGTACCGACCGGGTCACAACAGGGCCATATAATACAGGGCATATATAATAGCGAGTCAACTTTAATTTTTCAAATTACAACATACATATTTAACTAGCTTATTTATTGGATATAAATATAATTATAATATCTCACTTCTAATAATAATATCTTATACAATTCGAAAATAATTAAAGTAAGCAATTTTAAAATTGTTTTATCTAAAATAATAATGATAAATTAAAAAAAAAATAATTACAACTATTCCTTAAGTACATAAAAATATTTTTTTATACAATTTTAAATTTAATTTTTTGGTCCATCCATTATGCCTTATCAATTTTTTTTTTAATAGGAACATATAATTTTAGTTTAATAAATTGATAGGTTATTTTATTTTAAATTAATAGCGATTGAATATTTTAGTTAAATTTATTCATTTGCTTGTTATATCATTCTAAAATTTCAAATATTCGAGATTATTTACATGTGTAAAATAAGCGAGATTATAAATTCAAGTAGCTAATTTTAGCTACTATGATGTACTACTTATAGTAATATGTCGATTATTGCCAATTATTGCATTATCGTTAGATAAGGTTAATGTATGGTGGTCATTAAAGACTAAGTTGCTATAAAAACGATTATTTACAGTAAATGATGTTTTGGAAATATGAAACAGTTTTATTTTCATACCAAAATATTAGATAAACGATACTTAGATAGAAAATAAAATCGAAGTACTGCGATTCTAGTTTATCAATTAATCGCACACGAGCTTGTGTAATATAAGCTTATTCGTACTTACTGTCAATTTTTCTTACTGTAATGATGCATTCAATATTTGTGTTAGTAATAAATGTGTAGTTTCTTATATGATCCTTCAAAATGTTTGGTTTTTTTTTATTTCACTGTAAGTTAATGTAACTTTCGATGTATTTATAAAGAAAAATATTAGTGAAAAAATTTGTTGATACTTATTGTGGCTGTGATTTTAAACGTTTCATCAGGTAATATCAGTAGCTAAAATATACATAATAAATAAAATACAAATATTAATGAGTATTTTTTTGTTTCATCGTAGATATTGTATATATCTTTGAAACAACCTAACGATAATGAGTAATTTTTTTATTTTAATTAATATTAATTTAACAGGCGCTTATTCACAAATGCACTTGTGGATATGAATATTACTCATATTATTTGAACGTATTCATGAACTGNTTGTTGTCACGATTCAAAATAAATTATTAAATAATTGTTTTATTTATATAAATTCAATATTAATCATTGAAAATTATATATGTCTATTCAATTTTAAAGTAAACCGACCTTCTTTAGATGCTTCTAAAGGAAACGAAATACATGACTTCAAATCATCATGTTCTATAATTTCATCAACTAATGTGATATTTCTATTAGAAATTTGTTCAAATTTACCTTCAGTGGTTATGTGTTTTTTTGTCACATACGGTTCAGTCTTTTCTTGAGTGTCATTAAGTGTCGTTGAAGGATTAATTCCTTCCTCAACGCAATTATTTACTAAATAAAATTACTATAAATAAAAAATTGTTTTCATACTTGTAAATTAAACATACCTTTTAAAGGTAATTTCTTTATAGTGTCTAAAAGGGGCTCGTTTGTAGTAGGTAAGAGACAACACTGAGAACCAGTGTGCATATAATTTTTTAATATTGAAATTGAATTACGACGCTCATGCAAAGATTTTTTATTTGAAATAATATTTTCTAATGACACGTCAGTTTGCGTTTCACAATTTAATGAATTCAGTAAGGACAATTCTGTTTGTGTCTCGGACACATTGAACATAAGTTTAATATTAGTCTGAGTAAGTTTCTCAGAGGTTAATAAAGATGTCTGAACTGCAATGTCTTGAACTTCCTTATTCTGCGACTCCAAAATATGTGCTTCTGGAACAGATTTTATTTGACCGTTTATATCATCTGTCAATTTGTTTGTTTGTGTTCCATAATCTACTGAGGTGACTAAATAAAATAAAAATTAATAACGTAAAAAAAAAAATTATAATGACTGTAACACGTAAGAATTAATCATAAATAGAGAAAATAAATTTAGCAAACGTTCAAATGTGCATAGAATTACCATTGCGTTTTTTCCTTAACCCAAGTTTCTTCTTGGCAATTCTTATTATTCGTGTAATAATATTAACCATTTTTTATCAAAAATTATTGATTTACTTAATTAGATCGAAAATGATTTTTATGTGAAAATCATCATTATTTATAAATATATAAATGGTTGCCATGGAAATGTTATTCAAACCAGAAATACTGCTACAATTATAATATGACAATCTTTTTGGTTATTAATTAATATTCCGGGTAATTCTCGAAAATTGATTTGAACAATTTTTTTATTATTCTTTAACATTGAAAATATTCATTTTCAAAATTTTATCTAATTAAATACATTTTTGATTTCCTAAAAACTACGATAGTTTAATAAATAGATAAGAAACTGTGTTTTCTATTCATTATTATTGTTGGATACACATCGATCGAATGTGCTGTCAAGGAAATGCGTTTTTGATTAATCATGTTATCGTTGTGCTACATCGAGTTGTTGTCGGTTTTCTCTCTATGTCACCATTGTCGCCGCCATCTTAACGCTTCTTCTGCTATAAGCTCTATGGCGTTTGCGAGCCAGTTTTTTTTCTATTCGTTTTTAATGTAAAAAGAAAATATCACCTTTGCGATTGTCGTACCCCGTGCGCTCAGTTCATCGCCGTTGGGTCTATATATTTTCTGAGATACATCACGATACCGTTGACAGCTAATTGTACACTTTGGTCAGCTACTTGCATTCGACTTCAATTGATCCTTTCAATATTCAACATTATCATCAGCCGTTTCATTTAGCAGATAAGTATAATGCTTGTTCATTTATCTTTCTAAGACTCACTTGTATAATTTATTATTTGTTTATATCATCGCCTTAGTGGCATTAGTATTAAGTGTCCCCCCCTATCCACATCGANTAGTATTAAGTGTCCCCCCTATCCACATCGGTGTATATAAGATTTTATATTTCTTGTATAATACATTTAATCGTTATAATTATATCTTGTGAAATTCATTCTACATTCAAACATACAGTCCACTCACCTTATTCCTTATCCTCGACATAGCTAAAAACTTAAGACAAAACAAAACCACGAACGTTAACGAACCCGCGTGAATATCACCGGGCGCTGCGTTCAAACAATTATAATAATACTTGTAATCCAAATTTATTTATGTAAAATAAAGGCTTATACAAGTGTTAATGATACTGATGATCTTTAGTATATTAATGGAACATCAGGTAATAGTTTTTTCCATAAATTAAAAATCCATTATTTTTATATACTAATTATGAAGATTTATATCATACCACAAAAAATATTGACGTTCCGTCGAATTTGGTTGTTACCTTAAATCTGTATTATATTTTATCTATTTTTTTCATAACCACCTTGTCGGTTATTTTAGTACTAAGGTCACCACCCAATGCCCATTTAATTTAAGTAACTTATTGCAGAATTGTAAAAAATATATGCATTAAAAAAGTGTACGTGTTTTAATTACCCTATTATTTCCATTTTTTTTTTGTTTTTCTACAAATAAACAATATCATACATAGTAATAAATAATCAACTTTAATATTAAAGAGTTTCATGTTACAATTAACATAAAAATTTTATCAAAAAATACATTAATTTTTTTAATTAAAAATATAAAAATTTTAATATATCTAGAAAGTTTCTCATTTATTATAACATAATTCTACTTTTATTTATTTTGCTTTAACTGTATCAAAAAAAATATTTTTCATAATTCTATTAATCTTATTTCATTTACACTGTTATTATCAATACGGTCGTTGAATATTTCAAAAATTTTAGTAAATGTTGAATATGATAAAATGTTTTTTAAGTTAACATTTTGGAATGATTTATTGAATAATTCCATAAATAAATATATTCTTACTAAACTCATATTCATATCATTCGAATCTGTGAATATCTCTAAATGTTCAATATTATTGATAGCATCAACATTTAATATAGTATCAGAAAGATATATATTAGTTCTAATATTGATAGTCAATTTGTAACCTGCATCATTAATTAAATTATTTAAAACTAGATTAAAAGAATTAGGTTTTATTACATTTATTATACTTTCGATTTTAGAAATAATTACAAAAATATATTGATCAAAATTTTCAGTGAATATCGGCAATTCGTTAAAAGACTTGAATACTTTTTGAACATCTTGAACTTCGTGACTATCAAATAATATAATAGTATTCTTAAATAAATAATACATTCGCTCTAAACCATTTCTTGCATTTTTTTTATTTAACATTAATGTACTGTATATCAAACTTTCTCTTATTAAATGTATTAAAACGGTTTTAAAAACGTTCAACACTTTTTGTTGGTAAATTCCAATTTGTTTTATCCATATATCAAACCTAAAATAATTCTTTGCCTTTGTATATTCCTCATTTATTTCACTGTAAATAGCTTCGAAATTATCTTCACTCTGTTCACCAAAGTCCATTATAATAGTTCTCAATAATTCTTTCTTATCAATTATGTCATGCAAGTAAATACTTCTGAGTGAAAACGATTTTTCTTGTTCTTCTACATTTTCTAATAAAAGTTTGTTGATTTCTTTTCTCCGATTCATAACATCTATTAAATTCGTAAGCTTTGAATATATGTCCATAATAGTAAAAGGATTATTATTTACGTCATATTTATTATTTTTTCGACATAACTGTGTACTTACATATTTTATTAAATCGTAAAAAATTATGAGAGTACGACAAAAAATATCGCGATATTGATATATTTCATTACCAAACAATTTAATATAATAAGTATATAAATGTATCATCCAAAAAATAGTTAGTTTTTCTTCAATATCATACGTTATCAATGTAGCTAAAAAATGTTTTGTAATCGATTCATTTAAAATAATTCTACTTATATCATAAGTTTGTCCAGGTGGAATTATAATAAAAAAAAAAAAAGATTCAAATATTGAAGAAAATTAAATATATTACCACAAAAAAGGTCCAAGCAAATTATGGTTGTTTTATTTGTTATTTCAATATTTTCTAGATATCGATCTCCTGCCAAGATTTTATTTTTAAAATCTGGAATTGATAAATTGCATAGCTCATCATAACTAGGATAATCGAATCCAGTGTCTAATTTTAAAGCAGTTTTTAATGATTTATCAATTTTACTTCCAAATATTATTCCGTAACATAATTTTGTCTCCACAAGACAAAACAAAAAAAGGAATGCTGTATATTTTTTAAAAATCATTTTTAATTGTTAATATATAAACTGTTAAATAATGTATACGGTTTTAAGATAAATATTTTAACTGTGAATATTTATTAGATTTTTCAATTTCAAAAGTAGATCGCATAAAGCATATGCAATAAATTTAATAAAGTATTGTACAAATAATTTATTTTAATAGACAAAATATTGAGTTCTAATTTTGCATGTTATTTAATTTTTTATAAACTGTTTACATTTTAGTGAATAAATTATTAATACATATTGTACATTTCTTTATACTTTTTATTATTAATTATATATATATATATACAGGGTGATTGAAATCTGATAAGACACTTTTTTTCTCAGAAAATATTGAGAATTTTAAATTTTATTATAGAGAAAAAATATCAAGTTCAAAAAACTCTACAATAATATGTAGTCAAATCATTATTTTTTTCGTCCCTTCAAGGATAAAAACCTTTATTATAATTTTCTTAAACCCTTATTTTTAAGTTTATAATATGATAGAAAAAAAAATTATAAACAATTTTGTTCTTATAATTTTTTTTATCCGGAAAACCGTTAGTCCATTACAGCTTGTTAAAGTTAAGTGATTTTAGTCCAATTTTCTATTGTTATTTTACTGTATTAAATACGAAAGTCATTATTTTTGTTTGCTGATGCATAAACCAAACTTTATTGATCAAGTTATGACAGGTAAATTAGCTATATTAATGATCACTCTGTATAATTTAAAGTTGGGCGAATTTCTAATAGAAATTGTTCGCGCATCAAAGAGCAACGTTGGAGACACTGATAGCATGTTACAAAAAAGTTTTGAAAGTATGTGCGGCCTATCTGTAGAGATGTACCTGGTTTTTTGAAAACAAGTGAAATAGAAAGGATTGTCTCTTCCTGTGCATGGTACATAAGATTGATTTCAACAGAATCATAAGCGATAAGGTGGTCACATAATTAGAGTGATAATTAGAATTCATCAGTTAGACTGGATCCGATATGATTTGATAGAGTTGAGGCTATAAGAAGAACCGATCAACAAGAACAAGTAATAGCAAGAATTAATAACAGAAGATCATTGAATGAAGCATATCACTGTCACCCCTTTTATTGTGAGCTCTATAATAAATATTTAATATATATATATATATATATATATATATGTGTGTGTGTGTTGTATATTGTGTAGAACACATTTAATTTATGAAATTTCTGGGTAAAAGAAAAACAGGATTTTACTACTATAAGAAAAGTACCCTTGCGTCAACAGAAATAATTAACAATATAATAAATAATAAATATAATAATAATATCGGTCTATTATATATGCGACAACCAACAGTTCCTAACGCGTTATTATGCGAGTAAACATCAAAAATCGAGAAATTTCCATTGTCTGATCCCTCAGCTGATAAAAAGTGGCGACAGTAAAAAAAAAACACATAATAGTAAAATTAATACCTTTTCAGCTTCGATGCGAAACTGAAAAGAAGATAACAATTATTTTTTCGCTTAGTTGAAAAAAACACGTGTAAAATAGAAAATTTTAAAGAAAATTAATTTAAAAATGATGAAATAACACATGGGTGTAATCTCATTCATACCATTACTGTACATAGGTTTTTATATTGGATTTTATAAAAAGTATACCAAAAAAAAAAATTTTTATATTAGGTATATTCTGTTAAATTTTTATAAAAATCAACAATTTAATAAAAAAAAAAAAAAGCAAATTCAAAAATGGTAATGAATTTTAAATTTCGTCGATTTTTGGTCAATAAATCATTGATCCCATTAAATTTATGTTTGTAAATTTTCAAAAAAAATTTCATAAAACTCATAACTGCTATGAGTCAAATAACTCATAGAAAAGATATTGAAGATAAAAGATATACTCTTTATAAGCTTTAATTTTATGTAGGTCAAAAGTTGTTAGACCATACGGATCATTATTAAAAATTAAAATAAATATTTTTATCAAAATTCGCGATTTTTATTATCTATGACGGATAATGTGAACTTAAATTTACTAATCCATTAAGGTTCTTTTTTTTAATATTGTTGTTCGCTTCAAATTCATTAATTTGGTATAGGTTAGAAATCATTAGACTATTCTCAAAATTTTTTAACTCAAAAATAGTGTTCAAAAAATAAAGAAATTATCGACATATTATTATCTGATTATATTATTATCGTCATATATATTATTATATTATTGTCGGAGTTTTTACAGTCTTATTTTTGCTTTTATGCGAAACTGAGAAGGTATTAATTTTACTACGATTTGTTTTTTTTTTTTTTGTCTGGTACCACTTATTCTTAGCTCTAATCGAACCCATTTCTTTTTTAAACGCAGTAGTTTAACTTTACAAGATTAATCTTATCAATTTTTAATCGTAGTCGTGCGTACTTAAAACGCCTAGTGTGTAATTGTACCATTATAATGTGCCGAGTGCGTAAAAATGACCCTTATCTCTTATCATCGAGTTCAATTGCCGCCAATGATCAAACAAATTTCTGTCGAAGTAGATTTAAATAATTAATAATTTTCTATTAGTCGTGAAACATTAGGATAATATTGAGAATTAATAATCGTACATAATGTAACGCTGCGTTTGAAAATTCTGCAAAAGTGTGCGACGTACAACCGAAACGGTGACAGTTATGGGAAGAACTCCAAGCCGACACACGTCATAGCAGAAATATTTACATTTACTTTTACTTCTTAGGTATTGACACGGCTTATGTCACAATAATGTAATCGAAACTGGTTTTGAGAATAGAGACCTGTGGACCGTTTATTAGTAAGCAACAGCAAACAAACTGAAAGACGAATGCAGTTAATACAAATTTTCGTTTAATATCGCGGCACTTTTGCTGGCGTCGGCAACGTGGTGTCCGGCATATTCCTCGGCGTCAAAAAAGTTAGCAGCGTAGATGGCGCGGGTGCGTATCGGTTCGTCAATTCCGGTTGTGAGGCATGTCCGGACAATATGGCGTACATCCTCGACGTTGTCACTGTGACAACGGGAAGAAGACAGCGTATTATTTGTGATGGGTTGTCGTCAGCCGTGCGGCACTTGTTGGATTTTGCTCCATGGCGTATGGCACGCGGTGTTGGTCAGTTAAATACTATGAGTATTTTATCAGGCCGACTGATAAAAATGGCACGAGTCGAGGAGTATCGTGTATTACGAAGCGATGCGGGGCTGTGTCAGTATCACTAAGGAAGGTAGCGTCTTGTATTTAGATTCAGCGCTCGTCACATTTTCTATAAACAATTTTTTTCTCTATTTATTTTAGTCTTTATGTATCTAAAATAATTTTAAAATACCGGTAAAGCTACTAGGTAAGTTTTAATAAAAAAACAAATCAACAACTTTGCCCTCAAACGTAATTTATATATTGAGTTTTGTTTTATGTTTATTATTTTTGTTTTTAAAATACAGTTTTAATGTGGAATTATTTTAATAATAATAATATATATATATAATTGAGAATTACTTCCACAATAATAAATATAGAATATTATTATTAATTGAATAGATAAATATAAATTAAATGATTCAACAAACAATATTCGCGTTATAAAAAATAAACTCAAATAAAATTTTAAATAATTTAGTAGTGTGTAATAAACCAAAAATAAAAAGAAAGAATTGAAAAAAATTAGAGAGATAGGGGGGTAGAGAAATTAAGCAATAATAGAAATATAGTTGGAAATTGGTAGATTATTATATTTATTAATTTTATGAGTTTTTTATAAATTTAATTGTCTCCAATTTTATTTAAATTAATTTTCTCATTAATAGTTTCTCTTATTAATTATTAATGGTTTATCACGCAATAGATTGTTGGAAGTTCGAAAGCATAGGCTAAATTGTACTTACCTTACGTCCTGTGTAATACAATAATATTTCAAGTAATCCAGTGTTGATTTCCGTATTAAACCCACTACGTATACGATTTTCACTATACGTCATATAGTCTATATAATTACTTACAAAAAAAAACGATTCAAGATTTTTAAATATTATGATTTAATTACACAAAGTCTAAGACTGATCTTACTTGTAAAAGATTTTAAATACAGAGTATTTTATTATAAATACAATTTTGATTTTTTTACTTATTGATTTTTTTTTACGTCTGTTGAATAAGTATTTTTTTAGAGAGTATATTTTATTGAGAGATCGATACCAATATTTCTTAAATTTTCCTCTGGCCTGGCCAAAACAAGATTCAGAAATATCTATGTCTATGTAAAAAATTTATCAAGGCGGAATTGTGGTGGCCCAATGTGTCCCGGTGCTAAAATAAAGCACCTTGAAAGGATGCGGCACAATAATCACCAAGACAAAAATTAAACACTAAAAATATATTTGTAAGTTTCTTTACGCTGTCTGCCGGCGCGATGTTTATTAAAACAAAGACATTAGTAACGAGACTAGCTACCCAATAAGTATAGGATTGCAATACACTCAGTCAAATAAAATTACCATTAAATAAAGTTAAATCTCAATTTAAATTGAGAAGATTGTGCTTTTAGCTCTGTCTGCCGGCGCGATGTTTGTTAAAAAAAAGACATTAGTAACGAGACTAACTACCCAATAAGAAAAGCTCACAATAAATTTTTATTATTAAATAAAAATCTAAAGTTAGGTTAGATTTGTTATTAAAATAAAATAATTTTAAGAAGATGTAATGTTTAAAATATTATTTGATATTTATTTCCACAACAAGAAAAATAAAATATTATTAATGATTGAACAAATTAAATTAAATGATTCACCAAAACAAAATTCACTTTAAAATTTCTAAGTGTCATTTAGTTTTAAAATGAAAAATATTCTAAGTCCAAATTAATTAAAAAATCGACTAAGTCCCGGAGAGTGAAATCTTGAGTAAAACGTCGTAGATTTTGTGTATTTTAAAATCGTTAAAAGAACTGGTTTAGATGGGGAAAAATGGCTATTTATAGTCTGAAGGGGGTAGCCCAGCGATCTCTACCGTGATCCTGGAAGTTGAGGCTTTGTATTCTAATTGGTTAATTAAAATAGGGTCCCAGCGTGTAGGTGTTACTTAATAATTTCTACAAGAGGGAGATTTTATCGTATAATTAAAGGGTTATTTTGTATTTTAAATAAGAGAATCCTGTTTTGGTGATCTTGTATAATCATGATATGTGACATACATGTACATATGATAACATCATATTATATGTTAATATTATATGTAATAATATAATATTAAAATTGTATTAAAATAAAATGAGATATTTGAAAATAACTGTTTAAAATTTGCTATACCTTCTTAAACAAAATATTTTTTATAGTTCTAATAATCTCACATGATTTCTTTTAAATAAATATATAAAAATTTTAATATATCTAGCAAGTTTCTCATTTATTATAACATAATTTTACATTTATTTATTTTGCTTTAACTGTATAAAAAAAAATATTTTTCATAATTCTAATAATCTTATTTCATTTACACTGTTATTATCTCTACGGTCGCTGAATAATTCGAATATTTTAATAAATGTTAAATATGATAAAATGCTTTTTAAGTTAACATTTTGGAATGATTTATTGAATAATTCCATAAATAAATATATTCTTACTAAACTCATATTCATGTCATTCGAATCTGTGAATATTTCTAAATGTTCAATAGTATTGATAGCATCAACACTTAATATAGTATCAGAAATATATTTTTTAGTTCTTACATTGATATTCGATTTGTAGCCTGGAACACTAATTAAATTATTTAAAATAAGATTAAAAGAGTTCGGTTTTATTTTGTTAATTATGCTTTCGATTATGGAAATAATGACAATAAAATATAGATTAAAATTTTCAGTGAATATCGGTAATTCGTTAAAAGACTTGAATACTTTTTGAACATCTTGAACTTCTTGGCTATCGAAACACTCAACAAAATTCTCAACTATAGAATACATTCGTTTTAAACCACTCTTTGTATTTTTTTTATTTAACATTAATGAACTATATATCAAACATTTTCTGACTAAATGCATTAAAACGGTTTTAAAAACGTTCAAAATTTTTTGTTGGTAAATTCCAATTTGTTTTATCCATATATCAAACCTAAAATAATTCTTTGCCTTTGTATATTCCTTATAAATTTCACTGTAAATAGCTTCGAAATTATCTACACTCTGTTCACCAAAATCCATTATAATAGTTTTCAATAATTCTTTCTTATCAATTATGTCATATAGGTAAATATTTTTGAGTGAAAACCAACTTTCTTGTTCTTCTGTATTTTTTAATACATTTTTGTTGTTTTCTTTTCTTCGATTCATAACATCTATTACATTCGTGAGTGTTGAATATGTGTCAATAATATCAAAAGAAATATTACTTACGTCGTATTTATTATTTTTTCGACATAATTGTACACTTACATATTTTAATGTCTTGTAAACGATTAGTAGAGTCGGTTTAATAATCCTGCGATATTGATATATTTCATTTCCAAACAACTGAATATATTTATTGTACAAATGTATCATCCAAAAAATTGTTAGTTTTTTTTCGATATCACACTTTAACAATGTAACTAAATATTGTTTTGTAATCGTTTCATTTAAAATTACCCTGTTTATATTGTAAGTTTGTGCAGACGGAATACTAACGAAAATGGAAAAAAGAACCAAATATTGAATAAAATTAAATATATTACCACAAAAAAGGTCCAAGCAAATTATGTTTGTTTTTTTAGTTATTACAATATTTTCAGGATATCGATCACCTGCCAAAATTTTATTTTTGAAATCTGAATATGACAAATTGCATAGCTCATCATAATTAGGATAATCGAATCCAGTGTCTAATTTTAAAGCAGTTTTTAATGATTTATCAATTTTACTTCCAAATATTATTCCGTAACATAATTTTGTTTCTACAAGACAAAACAAAAAAAGGAATTTTTTAAAAATCATTTTTAATTGTTAACGTATAAATTATTTAATAATGTATAATTTTTTAAGACGTATTTTTTTTAAATTCTCTTTGTAAGTATTTTATTTGTGACTACTTAAAAAGAACTTTTAATTTTAAAAATAGATCGCATAAAACAAACTATAAATTTAATAAATTTTTTTTCAAATAATTTTTATAGACAATATTGAGCTCTAAATTTGCATTTCAGCAGTTGGTTTAATAAAATTATAAATTTTTGTAATTAAATTATTAATATCAAGTAGTTACAAAAAGTTAGCTCTATTTTTCGAGCATTATATTTAATGTATTATAAATTATAAATTTTACATACTTCATTAAAAATTTATAATGGTTGAGTTGCCTGCGTATTTTATTTCTAGGCTTTAAGATATACATTTTTGAAATAGTTTTTAAAGTATTTTAATTGTGAATATTTATTAGAATTTTCAATTTCATAATTAAATCGCATAAAACATATGCTATAAATTCAATGAAATTTTGTATAAATAATTTATTCTAATAAACCACATATTGAGCAGTAATATTGCTTTTTATGTATAGGTTTACGAAATTTTTATTTTTTGATTTTTGTTAGTTAAATATTATTTAACATAATTTTTAACTCCATTCCTTATAACTTATAAGATTTCAACTTTAATTTTATGTATCAAATTATGATTTTAAAGTGGCCAAAAATTAGTATTGCTATAATTATAAGTTAAATTAAATTACAAATAAAGGGGCATTTTAGTTTTTTCATACATGAATATTTCTTATAATTATAATTGTTATAATATTAATTTTATTGAAATTATAATTATAAATTTAAAATAATTATTTTCAAGTAAAAACTAATGTTCAAAAGAAAATTGAATTAAATTTTTTTTTTTCACTTTATTTTTTTTTTATTTATTAGCTTTCAATACAGAAGTATTATTATAGCTAAACGACTAAGATAAAACTATTCAATAGAAACTAAGACTATACAAAAGAAAAAAAAATATTGTTATTATACACAATTAAACATATGGTTAAATTAATAAATTAAACATACTCAAAATACTAAAAAAGAAAGATCTAGGATATTATTATAGGATCACTTTATTATAATGTAGTATTCTTCATGCGTTGCATTTTTAGGAATTTATGATATAAGAATATCATAATGGTATCTCTGATCTTACCACCATCCCCAATTATTGTATTTTTTGTTAAATGTAAGTGTACTTTTATTTCACATTACAAACGACATTCCACTCAAGCCCGTTACCGTGTCTCATCCTAGTTGGGACACAACATTATTTACTTTGATTTCTTATTATTCAAACAATTAAAATGTACTCGCTGCAAGTCTGAATGTACGGACACTGCTTCCATGGCATTAGTGCCAAAATGCACCCATTAGGTCCCTCCATGAGCACGACCCTTTCCCAAATTATAATGTGGAGACGGTGCTTATAATATACAACTGTCGTGATATGCTTAATACTTTGCATTACGCATCTCACAATTATCAATTAAAAAACCCAGCACAGGGGGGTCGCGGCACAGTGGTGACGTGGCATAGTTGGATCAAGTATAATGATATCTGACAGTGATTAAAATCACTATCAAAAATAAACGCTTCGATGCAAATCTTTAGATAGTGTTTAATTTTAAAAAAATTGGTGTTTTATTCCAAAAGCTACATGATCTGCTATTTCCTTATTTGTATCCTGATTAAGATAAAGTATGTCGAATGAAAAAGGGATTATTAAAAAATATTATTTCTCATAAAAATTATATTGATCCATAAACTTTTCAATAAGTTATAGCATTATAAAGTTAAATATAATATAAATAATAAAATCGAAAATTTTCACACA